CCACTGTGTTATCACCCACTAAGACTTGGAGGTGACGTAAAAACTGTGACGGCGACCGATCACCTAGTGTTTCACCTTGAAAAGTCTTTGGATTCTTTGACTATCTGATAATGATAAACGGTTCATTATCTCTCGTCTTAAGATGGTGTATGGTTGTGGTGATGGTGGACTTAAAATCAAGTCACGGACTTCTTTGGCGACTGAAGGAGGAAGGATAGAACACAAGTCTCTATAGCGAATCCCTTCAGATTTGATATTGTGTCTCGTGAAATAATGCTCTAGTTGAGCAAACCACAACTCAGGATCACTACGATCAAATTCTGGAAGTCGGGATTTCGTAGTCATAACAGTGTCTATCTCCACTGGTGACAAATCCTCCAGATTATGGGTTTCTATTGAGTCTGACATGAGGTATGTGACAAATATAGCAATAAAGTTAGCACAAAAAGTGGTTACTATAACACGAATAACTTAAGATAATACGGAATAAACTAGTTATATACTCAAATTAGTTTACGGATAATCAGGTCTACTTTTACGATTAAGTAAAAAAAATGTTAATAACAGAAATGAGGTTAAATTTGTGTTCAAAAAGGGCTCACCAGTTTCGTGCCTTAAGGTAACCCTCGTGCTATTGATAGAAGAAACCAGAGAAGTAGTGAATAGGTCTTTATTTCGATCTTCGCGCGGTGACAGTGGAGCATGGGATTATCTGTTCAGACAAACAAAGGCTCTCAACAGTCAATATAAGATAATAGGGAATATAACGCTTATACAAAACAAGGAAGTGAATGAATACTTGAACAGTACTGTTTTGGCATATGCTTGGTTGTTTGGGGTCATCTCTGAACCAACCAACCTTAGCTGTTACAATCAGTCGTACAGCGAATCACAACATGATCATTGGTTTAGTCAAACACGACCTTACTGTCAATAGTCCGGAAACGTGCAACAGTAAATCAAGTAACAAAACGTTATTCTTCAACCACAGTCACACGACAAAAGCTTAGACCCGAAGGACTGAAGAACATAATGTGTGGTTGGAAGAGATCTGTATAAAGGTTAGAATATACAGTAGGGGGAAGAAACAAATAGGTGGCAGTACTGTCCAACAAAATGCTGAGTATGTATTTTCTTACCATTACACACAATCTGAGTCACAGTATACTACAGCATATCCCAGAGTAAGTTTAAACCCTAGCGTGGTTGAAAATAACTCGCTCGCTTCTAATACTTTTGAGTGTAATTTGTTCGTGTCAAACGACTCAGATCCATAAACATTTAAAGAAAAACTAAATTCTTGAGCCAGAAATAGACAACACAATGGAAAGCCGCAAACACGACTTTCAAATAGGTCAAATACGCTCCTAATTTAATTTTGGAATATGGAGACGTCAAATGTAAATAACTTTGCTACAAGGTATGCACACGATTTAAAGTAAGTGGAATTTGCCATAAGTTATGTACTGCCAAAAGATGTATTAACAGCGCATGTTACTTACGTACTGAGATTCGGAAGTGAGTCGGAGGTGAGACCCAAATATCAAGGAACTAGAAGTCATCAAACGGAATTCGCGGCAAACGGAATGATGTACAAAGTAACATATTCAAAACTCACAGTTCGAATATGCGTGTCCAACCTAACCGGTCGCTTGAAGAGCGATTAAAATAGAAGAATGTTCCTACGTGAAAACAAAGTGGTAATGTGGTGTGTTCTACCTGTATCGAAATAAGTAGCATATGATGTTTGGTGTGAACAGAATGTCCGGCATCAGAGAGACAAGAGGATCGAACAGTAGGGAATGAAAAAAGAAAATGCAGGAACAATGAGGTCCGAGTCATTTTCAGACAATTGTTGGACATTTTGCAAACGAAGCATTTACTATGCGATTGTTAGATTTTATTAACACATCCTGTAATTTTGTGTCAAATACATTCGCTTGTCCCAACTCGTGTCCTTGTTCACTACAGTAAAACAAACAACCAGAATAAGGGCTTTCGAGCAGTCGAATTTTTAGAGACAAATGCTGCCTAAACTTTCATGAGTAGGAAAGTTATTCTAAAAAGACCTGAAATACGTTCTACATAAATTGTCGTAGTCTTAGAAATAAAACATCCAAGGTAATTTTTATGGTGGATGAGTTAAGTCACAATATAATGATTGTCACAAAAACGTGTCTTATCGCAGATGTAGAATGTTCCCCTACCACTGCACTATATTTGTACTTGTCAAAATGCCACACATCATTCAAGTGTAAATACTGAAAAATCCGTAATATATATTGCAAGACCATGCGTAGATGTCTCACCATTTACCAAAGACGGTCAGCATATGGTAGCCGTACTACTCCCAAACGATTGTATTCGTATATCAATCGAAGATTGAAGTGTGGTGAGTGTGTTTTTCCACTTCTATTGCGCGGATGTGTTAGCTGAATCAAATTTAGCCAAATTTGAGACTATCATACGATTACCCTGAAGCCTACTCCGCGAGTGTTGTTATTAATGCTTGCTATAACCATACCACTGATATACCATCTATGGAATTTGTATAAATAACTGAAGAAACTGTTCTTTGATTGATCATTAGCGTCAGACCTTATATGATCCCGGGTTCTGGTGTGTTACATATATGAACGTCATCAAATCTCACGGCCGCTCACAATGCTACTCAATGAGTACGTTTCCCACACTCAAATCCCTTGAGGCTGGAGTGACGCTGTAGTTAGTTTTATATTTAAGTATGAAAAGAGGCAGATTGTGTCTACCTACAGACCTCACAGTTTAACCAGCATAGCAATTAGATTATTTTATAAAACAATTTGGGCTGAACTACAACCCACACAGAATCACTCAACCTGTTAACTACCGAACAGAACGGGTTTAATATTAAGGATTCATGCCTGGCAAACTTACTAACTGTGAGAGAGGATTGTACTGCAGTTCAAGATAACTGTTTTTCTGTCGTTGCAACATTCATATATTTTAGCACATTATATGATTAGCTTTCTCACTTAGGGTTTATAGAGAAGGTTTTGAGTTTCAGAACAGGTGCTGTACGTGAATGAATATGAACCTCCTCCGTGGCCGATTACAGAGGAGAGGGTGAATAAGACACTACCTGAATCGGCCAAAAGTGGTATACCTCAGACATAATTTCAGGTCTTACATCTTCTCTATCTCAGTGAATTACCGCGACTGCCCAAGTCAATGACAACATTGTTAGTAGATGATGTTAATATCTGGAGAACAATAAGTAGTGAGGTTGATCATTTTGGTCTCCAAGCTGACCTAGACGAATTAGTTAGATTGCTACAAAGTTATGGCTTAGAAAATAATTCTAGAAAGATTGTGCTAATGCACATTGGACACGACAATATTTGCCAGTATACTATCAACGGTGTGTCTATTCCATACTTGCGGGAGTACAATGACTTATGGGTGACAGTAAGTCATGACTTAAATTCAACCCAGCAGCCACCAAAGGTTTTCGAGAGTTGTTGTCACCTCACTGAGCATTCAAATGCGTTGACGAGGACATGTGTCAGATTTTACATTCCACCTATGCAAGATCATACCTAGAATACTGTGTCCAAGCAACCAATCCATGTCTTATTAAGGATACTAGTACAAACGAGCATGTTCAGCGTGTGAGAATAAAGCTATTGAAGAGTCTTAGCTCGGTCAATCAACCTCACCAGATCACGAATGAGCACGCTGTGCTACGCATCTCTCGCAACAAATAACCAGCAAAGTTCAAACGCTTTCCCAACACATCGACTGCACTCTTAATATAACGTTGACCCCCTAATGTCTCGACTCTGCATAAACTTGGACTTGACATAGAGACGAGGAAATACATATTACGTCCATATACTCTGTAGGTCTACTTCATAATTCACACGACTGACATGAAAGACGAAACCTCGTGGCGGTATACTCAATGTAAATAAAGTGGTTCATCCTGTTGCAAACGGCTGTATAGGTAATGGTTGCTTAGTTTCAAGTTCTGTAGTGACTAGCCTAACCTGAAATGCACCATAGGATAGTCAACGAAGGTGACTTTCACTTTCTAGACTCTTCAACCGGATGGAATTTTATCAATACAAGCAAATAATTATACGGTACCTATATGATAAGAGAGTTGATATATGAGTGATAGGCCAAGAGAAAACTTTCCGAGTATTTTCATTTAAAAAATGGATTTGGTTGGTTGTCGAGTGGATCCGTACGTAGAAATCCACAGATGAATGTTTCCACAGAAATGTGTTAACCATTGTTTCTGGGTATTTTCATAAAAAATTGTCGTGAATCGACAAAATCGACTTAACGCAAACTCGGTTGACAACTTAACGTATAAGTATCACTAAGTAGTGTTGTTTTCTCGTGGTTATCTTTGTCTAGAGCAACTGTTTTCAGTATCTCTCTCTGCATTAGTTGCCTGTTTATTAAACACCTTAGAACCTTATCAGTCTAATTAGGGGCATACAATTCATCAGTATAAGCAGTGGAGCAATCCTCCTACAAACTGGAAACACTGTCGTACTAAAACCAACACTGAAAAATGTTTGTGACATCATCATAGACATGCGCTGGGAGTTGTACTCCTCTTGGTTACAGCTTGTCCTCTCATTGATGATCAAGTGAGCAACACCCACTGTTCATTATCTTGCAAAGATTGACTTACTCGAAAGCATCACGCAACCTCATGTCACTTGTATTTGTGGCACACAAGCTTAGTTGATCTCAACAACAAAAGGACGCCACCATACAGAACACAACATATCCAAAAAAACCTGAAAAGAGAAGACTCCTCTCCATGATTTTCGTTAATGACCGTGAAGATGAAGTTATCTCACCTGCACTAGTCTCTGCAAATGACTAGAACACGTGGATCTCCACAATAAGCTAAAAGTATTCACTTCAGCTTCCGAAAGACCCCAACACAATAAAGGAATGGGTGATAGACAGTGCGTTAAGACTCAACCCGTTTAAACGTCATGTCAACGCCAATCCGCACTTCTAAGCCAAAGAAAAGGTCCAAATCTGTAACCCCTACAACTGACGACTCAGTGCTTGACAATATCGAACCTTTAACTACTGAAAAATATGTGCATTGTACACAAATGTCTCTATCGTCATCAGATTCTCCATGTCGCAGCCCCTCTATCTTTACGTGCAGTATGCCAACGGTAAGACTGGTTGACATACAAGACACTAAACCTACGTGCATTGAAAAGTCAGCACAGTCTACTAAACAGTATGTGTTACCAAGGCCTAAGTCTAAACTTTCAAAAACTAAAGAGTCCAATGGTCCACCTCATACGCACCAAAATACTGATAGATATAGTAATGACATCCGACAGCTACAAAACTCTCTATCCGAAATTAACGGCAAACTTGAGCAATTAGCACCCCTCACTCATATATGGGGCCTTGATACAGACAGAAATCTTGAGCAACTCACTAAAGCTGAGTGTATTTTGGAGTTTGTGGCTGAAGAAGTGACGAAGAGAGTAATGTCCTCCTTCAATGCAGTTGTGTATAACCTCCCCGACCGCACACACCCATCTAAGTTAAGAGATATTTGCCTTAGAGCATGCGGTATGCCGAACGTTAACTGCAAAGTCATCCGCCTTAGAAAAAAGTCAGACAGATCAACTTGCCCCCTCTTGTTTATGTTTGGCTGTTGTAACGATGCTAAGCAGTTTATTGATTTGAGCAAAAACATTAGCTCACTAATTCCATACAAAAATATAAAAGTCACTCCAGACCTTACGCCCTGTCAACGTCGTGTAAGAAGACGCGAAGCGATAGAATTGAATGGGAGTGTTACAGTTAATAATCAGCCAGAGACAGTTTGCAACACAGCAAATGGTTTAAAACACACGAACATTAAGCATGACACTACTCCACATACGGCTGATCACTCTGTTGATCTAGATGAGTCTACAGATCAGAAACCTTTGGATAAGATACGGACCCCAACTGACACCAAAAACCATAACGACATGACTAATCCCAGCTGTTCATTCAGTAATGTACTAAAATGTGAGTCGTGTAACAACACATGTGCAACTAAACCTATACACTTGAAAATTTGTCCTCCTAAAGACATTCCACAAGTAGACTAGAATGAGCGTAAGTTCATCTCACAAAGACAACGAAAGAATCCTGCTCTGAAAATAAAGGGTGGGAAGACAAAACTCATGATACCGAATAGGGAAACACGTAAGATTGAACCCAACTGCTCTATAGGTATCCCAAGAACAGTGAACAGGTTCTCCCCGCTGCTATCGTATAACTTGCCTTCAACACCTCCCAGTTGCAAAAAGGGTGGTGGGCTTCAGCGTAGCAAGCCTTCTTACACGCAGACTAACGAAAACTACCAGAGAACTGGCCACTCAAATCACCCCCTGAAGCCTAAAACTATAAATAAGAACGGTAATAATAGGTTTCTCACTCCACACCCTACCTACATTCCCCAGGATCGCAACTGTAATTACTCTCAAAAAGAAAACTTCTCATACCCTTTAGTACCGACCCATCACATAACAACGGCTCCCATGTATAACAACAGTCGCAACTCCTCCCAGTTACGCGTAGCAGACCCCTCTCGCGCTAACGTAAATAGCCATAACAGGGGCTACGAGTCTAACCATCAAGACTATTTTGTAAATAACCATACACTTCACAGTAGGCCTGTACAAGATTTTTTTGGAATAAGACCCCTAGTGACACCTCTGTTGAAGCATATAGCCCAGGTTATTTCAAACCACATGCAAACCATAAACTTGTTTCCTCCGTACAGTTTCCATCACAGAGTACTCCCACCCTTTCCTCCTGGGTAAACTCCCCAATCAACTTCACCAGCTCATTTGATACACCTCCCAATAAGTTTAACTATCAAAATACCGAGCTAATGAAGAACATCCAATCCCTCACATCAAACTCATCTTACACTCGCGAGGGTTACGACGACTTTATCCGAAATACCCTCACCCATTTTAACTTAGTAGGCCACTTGCTTAATATATGTCTTATCAACGCTCGATCGATCTGCAACAAAAAGACGGATTTAGCCCTGTTTGTATCCATATATCAACCATCAGTTATTATGATATCTGAAGCATGGACTAACAGTAATATTTCCGACCGAAGCATATCTCTAGATAACTATTCCCTATATAGAAGTGATAGATTGAATGGACGAGGCGGAGGATACTTTATTTACGCTCACTCTAGCATGAACTCACTGCTATGTGATATGCCTGAACTAAACAAACTGAAGGATTCGGTGTGGATTGTATTAAAGCCGTCGAATTCCGTTACCTTACTGCTCGGCTGTGTTTATCGTCAACCTAACGCATCAATAGATGAAATAGCAGTATTATCGGAGGTATTCACGCTAGCATCATCCCTCTCATTCACAGGCAAGCTCATTTGTGGTGACTTCAATATGCCCGAAATTTCTTGGCTGCCAGTCAAAGCGCCGAGACGTTATGAATCATTTATTGAATGGACTCAGTATGTCGATAGCCCTACCAGACATCAAAATATCTTAGACTTAGTCTTTACCAGTGGCCTCATCCCCAATACTTTGTATATTGGAAAAAAGTTCCCAGGTAGTGATCATAACATTGTGATATACAGCCTTAATGTAAAAACCACAACCGATAGAAGTAAAACCATAACACTTCGTAGAAACTATCGCAAGGTTGATTGGAATAACTTCCACAATTACCTAAGAAGCACTGATTGGAGAACTTTCTTTACCTCAAACAATACCGACACATTAACCAATATATTTTATCACAACATCAAAAGTATCATCAACAACATCGCACCTTTAGAATACTGTAAACCTACGTTCTCCAAAGATCTCTATATACCGGTCAGTACAAGAAGACGTCTTCAAAGACATTGTACTCGATTCCACAACTTAAATGACTTTTCCTCTTTAGTAACGATGACAGAAATACTTGTCCGAACAGAGGCAATAACTAAACAAAAAGCAGTAGCACAGGAAAAACGTGCAGTCGAACTTAATAATAACTCCTCTGCACTCACCATACTACTCCAAAATAAACTTAAACGCTCTAAATCGAGAGGGAGTATATTCATTAAAGGCAAAGAAGTATACGAAGATCCCAAACTTATCACAGAATTATTCAGTGAACATTTTTGTTTCTCACTAACTAACGAAAAACCATTTAATGATTCAGAACCAATCCCAGTAACTCCCTGTGAAATTACTAATGTAGAATTCAGTGTACAAAATATCTCCAAAGCAATCAGTACATTGAAACACTCCTACACTGATGGACCAGATGGTATTCCATCTAGCATGCTAAAACGTGGTGATGATGTGTGTGTTTTGCTTATCAAACTATTCGCGATATCACTCTCTTCAGCGTGTTACCCTACTGCCTGGAAAACTACACATATCATTCCCAAAATTAAAACAGGACCTGAAGCAAACGTTGAAAATTACCGGCCTATAAACATAACTTCAGTGGTATCCAGAGTGATGGAAAAAGTAGTTAAGGCGGCTGTAGTCCAACATCTATTAACTAACAATCTCTTGTCGACCTCCCAGCATGGATTTCTTAGGTCCAGATCATGCGATACATGCCTAGTAGACTACCTGAATGACATAACTCTGAAACGAGACAGCGGACTCCTTGTATCAGTCCTATTCCTAGACTTTAAGAAAGCCTTTGATAAGGTCCCACACAAAAGGCTACTCGTCAAACTAAAGTCCTTCGGAATACACAACCCACTGTACTCATGGTTTGCTTCGTTCTTAACAGAACGTAAACAGATGGTAAAGTACAATGACTGTCTCTCGTCCCCTAGACCAATCACCAGTGGAGTCATCCAGGGAAGCGTATTAGGGCCACTTTTGTTTCTTATGTATATTAACGATATATGTAACACCATAGAATTTGAGAAACCGTACTTATATGCTGATGATCTGAAAATAGTATACAGCTATAAGCCTGAGACACTAAGCGAAAGTGTATCCCAGATCCAAAAGTACCTCAATAACTTAACTATATGGAGTGAAAAATGGCAATTACCATTTAACCTCAACAAGTGCGGGATCATGCACTTTGGAAAGCATCCCTATAAACCGCGACTTCACTTAAATGAATGTATAGTCCAAACACTCGAATCAATACACGATTTAGGAATTAACTACACAGGAAGCCTAAACTTTGAAGAACATGCCTCATCCATTATTTCTAAATCTAGACGGCTAATTGGTTTTATAATGAAAAACTTTTTCACAACAGAGGGTAAACTTACTCTCTACAAAATATGTGTACGACCCACCCTTGAATACTGCTCTTTTGTCTTCTCTAATATGAATATCGCAGACAAGATAAGAGTAGAAGATGTTCAAAGACGTTTCACACGTCAACTACTAGGATGTAACTCGAATCTCGATTACACAGACAGATGTAAGCATCAATCTTTAGAACCTTTATGGCACCGTAGGCTAAAACACAATTTAATATTTCTCTACAAAGCGATATACGGGCTCTCCTTTCTAACCTCCTGCCCGACTATCACCCACGACCCAGCCTATAGACTTAGAAACAACGCATATACACTACTTACCGTAAAACACCAAAAACAAATGCGTTGTAAGTTCTTTACAGTACGGTACAGTTTATCGTGGAACAGGCTGCCAATGCCTATCCGTAACTGTGATACGTTTACCAGATTCAAAAAGCTAATAACCCTATTTCTAGACTCCAAAGAGCTTCAACATTACCTTGAACTCCCGCCCACCGATGAGGCACTTTATTACGGACCGGCTAGTATCTAGAAAGAACAAAAATATAACAAGTTCGACTGTTACTAATCTGAATATAACCAAATCACAGGATATATGGCTTATCCTTTCCTATTATTCATTGTTTATTAATCATGATTTCATGCCCCTAACCCTAGCTTTCAGTCCCCAAATCTCTACAGGTTAAATGTACATTATTCTTCCTAAAAGTCATGCTTTTTTTTCTACTGCAAGTAGACAGATAGCTCAATCTTATGGATGCTGATCTACTAAGGCCGATCATTCAAAGCTCAAAATTTGGCCACAAAGTCTTGTGAGTTTCTCAATGTTTTATTTTTCTCACCCTAAAATCTTTTTCTTTTTTTCTACAATTTTATACCCTCTCATATCTTTTGATTTACTATTAATCCTTACTTCTTTAAACCATTAGTTATTTTCACAGCAGTGTGATATACTATATGGAAATCTAACCCATAAAACAGAATTTTTAAATATCTGATTTGCTTGTAACATGGACCTAGTAGAGACAGTGTATTCCAACTATGTGCTTTGATTAAAGCATTAATCATACTTACCACAAACGTAAGAGAGCCTAACATCACAAAAGGAGGGAGGGTGGCGTTACTGACCAGCAAACATGAAGATGGGGAGATAACTTCAATCCACCCATGTCTGTAGGGCAGAACATTTTGTTTAATTACGGCTCCTTATGGTTTAGTGGGATGTCACGGACTTATGGTATTGAAGCTGATTTATCACGCAAAATACCTCTTTAAATCGTGTTACGAACGTTGAATTGGTTTCACTTCCTACCCAGTAATCCTATTACAAGCAAGCTAGACAATTCGCTAATATACGAAGCCCACTCAAGACCCTATAAAACCTGAAAAAATACAAATAAAAAAACGAAAGGGGCTCTAATAGCTTCGATAATAAAAGGAAGATAGCCAGTTGTATATCACAATACTGTTTCTAGCACTATATTTTATTTTATAATCACACATAATCTTATACTCTCAGCTCTTTTCCGAATCGCCTCCATTTGTCAGTTAAATGTCCACTCACACCTTGCTAACGCTTATTTTCTTTAACCTATTAAAATGCTCTTTCTTAACAAATACCTTAATAAAAGAAAATTAGACTGAGTAATCATGCCTTAAACATTCCTACATGAATATTGGCTACTCTGCCTCTCGTGTTTTCTTTTACTTGCTCCCTCTTTCAGCCCCCTTGAGATATGGAACAGGTTAATTCATCCTGCACCATCCTTAAAGCCTTGGATATCCCGAAGGGACATAAGGTTGCAATTTCTAGAAGCTCATACCTTCA